CTTATTTTACTGCTTAGTAATAATGTAGCAGAATAAGTGCACACAATGTAGTGGTTTCCTGTCATGAACAGTTAATGAATAACTGGATTTTGTTAGAGAGAAGAAATAAATTAAAACGTCACTTTCCCGTCCTCAGGAAAGTGATTTTGGTTTGAGAAGACTATCAGTATGTTACGATCATAAAAGTTCAGTTGAACTTTTATCAAATTGTGACATGTATAAGTGTACAGCAGTGAATGTCCATAGTAGATGTAACATTAATAATAATCATAGCTTTTTAATTAATTATTGCACAATTGACATTTTCATTTAAAAATGTGCACAATTTGTTTAAAGAAAAACTTCATAAGGTTCCAGAAAGTGTTTGGTTGTTAATAAATTATTGTTGAAGTGAATAAATTAAAAGATTCAAATTAATTGAGCATTTACAAGTTCAGAAAAAAAATAAAATCGAAAAAAAACTATCCAATCTACTACTATTAAGTTTTAGCAAGACACGTTGCATATATTATCAAATATATCAGTGGATATTTATGCAGGTATTTACTGTAATGCTGGCTTATGGCTTGTTTCTACTGACTGGTACGGTACGGGTCACTTTTATCAGGCTTGCGTTTCCATTACCCTTTTGGTGGGCATGGTGTATGATAGAATGTTTCAGTCAATGTCATTTTTGCTCGAGAAAAAATCTACAGTAAAGCTGTATGGGTCGCTCGCATATCATATGAGAAGCACTTCTCAAAAAAAAAAAAAAAAACAGATAATCTTCAGCAGCACGTGTAGCCTCTTGTTAGAAAGTAATTCCCTCATTCTGAGTTTATTATACTCCATAAAGTGACTATAATAATTAAACATGGCAGTTTGTTCACGTTTGCTGAAAAAATAATGTGCTCCTTTTTTCCAGCTTCTCTTTTTTTGTTTTTTTGCACTTTACTCTCGCGTTTGTCCGTTTCTGACAGGATCGGGTTTCAAAAGCACGTCAATAATCAAGCGCAATTTATTATCATCAGCTCAAGAAGTTTGTTATTTCAGATATAGACGCGCAGCGAGCGCAAGCAAGAAAGCGAAACCCTTCGCGCTTGAGACTGGCTTGTAAAAATCTACGGGACACAGGGTAAAATCTGCTTTTCTTTCTGCCTTTTGGCTGTTTATCAAGACGACGATAAGGTTTGTTTGAACCCGGGTCGACCATGGCTCGTTATTATATGTATATATAATTACGCTGTAATCTCTTGGCTGTGTATTTTAAACATGGCGGTTCCTTTGTTTTCATTCTGGCTTGCTGCTTAAGCGAATGATGTATCTCTGTAAACCAATAGCATTCTGTTGTGCGTCTAGCTCCACCTTTTGGTACCGTTTCTCGTGTTTGGTACCCATTCGAAAGGGTGCCCAAAAAGTGGTAAGATACAGTTCGGTTCGGTGCTCCTTTTGACAGTGGAAATGGCCATAAAAGCGCAGCGTACCACTCAGTGAAACGAGCCATTAGACCATGAGGTATTCTGAAGTAGGAGCTAATATGGTCCTCACACAAGGCTTTCCTATAACTAAAAAACAGCAAGAAGCATAATAGCGATTGTTCCAGCAACTATGCAAACCTTCCGCAATTAAAGATTCAACATCGTTTCCAATTGTTATGTTTACTTTAACATCCCAACTCTGTAATTTGCAAGTCCTCCAAATCTCTCACTTTTAAATCTGATTTGTTCTGGATGACCACTTTTCTCATCAACTCTGTAATGAAGTAAAGCCAGACTGATTTGATTCTTATTTAAGAGCCTTGTAATTAACCGTTTTGTTTTTTAATCTAGTTGTGGCAATGTAAACTGGGCCAGAAGGTCAGAGTGCAACATGTGTAACACTCCTAAATATGCCAAACTGGAGGAAAGGACAGGTACATCTTTCTTTAAAATAGCATTTTTTACATGTTGACTGCAGTGGTATGAGTTTGTGCCTTATATGATGTGCTTGATGTTTTCAACAGGATACGGCGGAGGGTTTAACGAAAGAGAAAATTTAGTCTACAATGAGCGAGAGGAGTCTGATGGTGAATATGATGAGGTCAGTGTGTGTGTTGTTGTAGTTTTATTCCCCCCAGACAGTCAATGACATTTGATATTAATGTAATAATCAGACTTGTTCAGTTTGTATGCCACTTTTGACAAAATATTTTTCTGGTCTTCTGAACAGTTTGGGCGCATAAAAAAGAAGTTTCGTGGGAAAACCAAGAAGGATAGTGATAAAAAGGAGGAACCAAAAAAAGTTGATCAAGACGATGAGGAAGAGGATGACGATGATGAAGATGGAGATCTTTCCAAATACAAACTTGATGTGAGATGTTACTCTGAGCTATATTGACAACACTGTTTTGTTTTGTTTTTATTGTAAAAATTATCATATGACTGCAACAGTTTGAAAAGGTAGGTTCAAAAAACAAACTGATGTGAAACAACTATTTTCTTGTTTATTAGGATGACGACGAGGACGATGATGATGATGATGATGATGAAGATGATGCAGATTTGTCCAAGTATGATTTGGATGACGGTGACGAGAAGAAAGGGAGTCATTCGGGATCCTCACGCTCCTCTTCACGCTCGTCCAGTTCAAGTTCCCGGTCTAGGTCCAGGTAAAAGGGTACAGGTCAAGGGTAACTCCAGGCAAATGTCAGTATCAGCTCAAATCTTTATTCAAATCTTTGCATTAATCTGTTTTAATGTTAATTATTTTGTCTCTTTCCCTCTTTGCCTGCTTTTTGTATTTTTAGACACGTTTTGTCTTTTTTCTGAAATTATATGCACAATGTTGTATTATCAAAGTGATCATGCAAATTCAATGCTTTTCAATTTGTTTGGAGGTAATTTGTGCACTCAGCAGCATTACTTAAAAGGGTTTAAATTGATGGGGTTTGCAATTATAATATGATAGGTGTTTTAAAGCACAAAACCTTTTATGCAAGCCTTAAGGATAATGATAAATTGTTTTCTTTCAATCCTCGTCATTTAATTTTGTTTTTTCATCAGGAGATCTTTTAACTTTCTCATAAAAAATGGAAAAATTGTGGTGTTTTTGTTGACGTCGGTGTTTTGCAGATCCCGCTCCAGAAGCTCATCCAGCTCCAGATCTCGCTCTCGATCCAGGTCCAAATCCAGGTGAATGAGGTCACATGCACTCTCCAGGAGAGAGAGTGTGTGTACGAACAGACAGTGACTGTAGTGAACTATTTATCCTCAAATTTTAATCATTGTAACAAAAGAATTGATTTAGCATTACCAGTCTGAGAAGACATAAAAAGTGGACTTTTATTTTTCTTTCTACATAGCCATCGACAGCTTTCTTGTACCTTTTTTTTATAAGATGTGATTTAAGTGTTACTGATCTGGTTACCTGGTAACACTGTGACATCTGTCAGGCAATTAAAGCTTGTACAGTTTCTCTGACAGGTTCAGCTTTGTTTTTTGGAAAAGTTCTGTTGTTCAGAGCTGCAATTTTGCTTTAAGCAGTTGTAGTATTTAGAGGGATGTGGATGGATGTTTTCCTCCCATTTCAGTCCCTTTAGTAGTGTTATTGTAGTAATCCGTGTTGCCATGTTGGTTGACCTCATGTGAATGCTTATTTATCCCGTTTGAAAGATCCAGCTCCAGATCAGGAAAGGGTTCTGCATCCTCAAAGAAGAGGTCTCGCTCTCCATCGTCATCACCTGAAGGAGGCCAGAAGAGGAGTCGTTCCAGATCCTCCTCTGGTGGCCGCAAAAAAAGACGTGCACGATCTCACTCGTCTGAAAGGTTTGGTGTAACACATGGTGTCCTGGATACCAGGCGTCCTTCTGCTTTATACACTGGACTCAGTGATAAAACAGTTCATGATTGAAACTATCTGCTTTTCATTGGACAATAGTTTTGTTTCCATGTCAAATCACTTAATCAGTCATGGTCTTTCTTTTTCTCTCTCCTTTTTATCTCTTTGTAGGCGCAGAGGCTCATCTGGATCATCTCACTCTGGCTCAAGCTCAAAACAGAATTGATTAACAAAAGAAACAGATCTTTCTAAAACAGCATGTTTTTTTTCCTCCAACTCCAGTTTTTGTGCTATTGCAGCTACATAACTGTTTGAATTCACACTGATTTTCATATAAAGCAAACTTGTGCACCTGTTCACCTAACCTCTTAAGTTTTCTGCTAAAAAAAAAATCTAGCCAAATCCCTTAATAGTATATCTCAAGGTGTAATGTCTGTAGTTTAAGTGGGTTTACAGAGAAACCATTCAGTGACTGTATAAATGGCACATATCTTCTGACATTTACCTTTTGATATGACATTATGCAAATTATATTGCAGAAGTAGATTTATCCATCAATTGTCAGATATTTCTGCAGTCAGTATAACTAGTTCATTCACAAAACATTTGATGATTTGAAAAAAAAAAAACATTTCTCCAGATGTTGGTTTTATGGCTAACATTAAAATACTGAAGGCATCAAATTCAGCAATGCCAGAATCTGAATGATCTAGAAAAAAAAAACTCTTCTTAAAGCTTAACATTGTCTTTAGTAATTGTGTGCATAAAAGGTAAGTATGTTTTTTGTTTTAGTTTTTTAAGACATGGAGAATTTTCTTTTGGCAGGACAGAAATGCATTTTTCGTTCATTGTGTGTATGTCCTATTTTGTGGTCTCTTTTTGTGCAAGTTTAATTTTTAAGCATAACTGTGGCATTACTGAATGGTTTAAATTGATAAACACAAGGTACAATTAAAGTAAATTACTTTTTCTCTTCTTTTTTTCCCCCTCTGTGGTCAAATCAAATTTGGAACATGTAATCTGAATTATTTTACCACTCGTTTCTGACATGAAATATGAAAATGTTTTACTGTTAAAATGACATGAGTGTAACCAACATGAATAAACACTTGTTAATCTAAAATAGTTTTATAGTGATGTGAATTTATTTATGTTTTTCATAATGTGTGCTAACGGTTTAATAGGAACTTCTCATCCCCACAGCAAAAGTTTAAGATACGTTTTTATTTGTTACAAAACTAGTTAAGTCAGATTTACTAGTAAAACTACACTAAGGTTCCATTAGTTGTGTTTATTAACGCGATCTAACAATGCATTTGATACAATATTAGTCTTTAATTAATAATTGCTCACAAGCACAAGTTCATGTTTTAATAATGCATTAGTAAAGGCTGTAAACATCTTCAATCTTATTTCATATTAGTAAAGAATAATGAAAGCTGGTTGTGTGATCAATATTCATCCTAGTTATATATAATTTTGCATTTGGAAACACTGAATTTATTTAAAAAAAAGTAATATTATCATATATATTTTTAAATGCAAGAGTTCAGACGCAAAAACCTCCAAGTGTTATTTCAATTTAAAGACCATGAAAGCAACTTATTTTTTGCCATAAAAAATTCATTGCTGAACTTACACCCAGCAGCGTGATAAAATGCTCATTTTAGAAGAACATTTCAGATGGCATTTAGAGGTTTTGCACCAGAACTCTTCAAACAGCTGTACACGTTACTGGAAACTTTTTTTTTTTTTGGACGACGCTTATACTACGTAGCCAATTGTGGGGAATTCGTTGGTAGTCTGTCCTTATCTACTTGATATAATAACGTGTCTACTGTACATGGCTTTATATGAATGGATAAAACACTTTCTAATATGGGTGTGAAGAGAAGTGTTTCTCGTGCGCTAGGTGGCACTTGTTGCGTTTATACCATCCGTGAGCTAGTGATGAGGATCATCAGAATTAACCTGTTATCCATTGCTTACAGATTTGTGTAACGTAAAAATCTTGCGTTTTGTTTGAACAACAGAATGTGTTCTCTCGGAGGAACTTCGTTGGTTAAAATGTAAATGCTCTTACTATTCGACGTGCACCGAGGAGAAAATACAAACAAACTGAGGAACACGTACATTTACGCACAAACGACAACATTGTTAAGGTAAAAATGTTCTTTGTGGGTCCTACAATATTTTTATGTTGTTTTCTGAGTGTGTTTTCCATTTCCATAAGGGTCCCGCCTCTGTGTTTATAGCGCGCGCGCTCGGCCAAAAGTGAGACAGAAGTGAAGCAGACTTCAGTGAGGACTCTACCTGTTTCCAACGGCCATGAACACGCTCCCTGAAAAAGGATGGCATCAAAATGTAAGTCTTCAACTGTCTTGCTACAAAACCTGACTGCTGGAATCATGCCGGACTCGAACATTTCCAAATCTTCACAGGACAGCCCGGGCAGGAGCGCCGGCTGCGGGTCGGTGTCCGTGTTTTTCCCCATCACTATGATGGTCACTGGAATGGTGGGAAACTCTCTGGCGATGCTGCTTGTTTATAGTGCATACAGAAAAAAAGAGAACAAAAGGAAGAGATCATTTCTGCTTTGCATCGGTTCATTGGCGTTAACTGACCTTTTCGGACAGCTGCTTACAAGTCCGATAGTCATCTCGGTGTACAGGGCAGATATGAAATGGGACCGCGTGGACCCGTCCAAAACTCTCTGCGCCTTCTTTGGGGTTTGCATGACCACTTTTGGCTTGTGTCCTCTCTTTTTAGCCAGCGCAATGGCTATTGAGAGGGCCTTGGCCATTATTGCGCCTCACTGGTACTCGCATTACATGAAAACCAGTGTGACCAAGCAGGTCCTGGTCATCATTTGGTGTCTGGTTTTGCTCTTTGCCTTGTTGCCCATTGCTGGTGTTGGGGAGTACACGTTGCAGTGGCCAGGCACTTGGTGCTTCATAAATACTGGTGACAAGGACGTAACGGGAAATACGTTTTTTGCCACAACCTTTGCAGCACTGGGGATATTTTCACTGCTGGTCACCTTGTCATGTAATGTGGTGACCATTCGTGCACTGGTTACAAGGTGCAAAACCAAGTCAAGCTCGACCCAGTCATCAAAGCAGTGGGAGAGGTTGACAACAGAGACTGTTATTCAGTTGATGGGCATTATGTGTGTGCTGTTGACATGCTGGTCACCTCTACTGGTATGTATCCTATCAGCTTTTGCCAGATGCTCTTGCTGCAGTTATCAGATGAAAACTTGCGTGGAATTTCATGCTCAAGCCTAAATGTTACAAACTAAACTACTGTTTTTATTGGAATATAATTTTCTAGGTAAAAGTTAACTCAGTAAACAAACAGTTTTCCAAATTTGTACTAACAATAACTAATTAAAAGCATTAAAAATAAACTCCTAAATGTATGGTAAAAATATAATCAAGCATTTTAACAGTGCATTGGACTTGAAACAGAATGATTCTAACAATTTCTTGTATAAAGCAGAAAATTTTTTTGTCCATAATGGTTACAAAAAGTAAAATTGTGTTTTACCTTAATACACATATTTTCACTAATACTAATATATATATAGCAAATATCAGTCCAAGTCACTCAAAAAATGTGGGAAATACATTAAAATATCAAAATATATTATAATATTAAATTATAATGTAAAAAAAATTTTTTTTGCTGTTTTTTTTTTCTGATGAATCCTGTACCCAAAGAGCACTGAAATATTATTTAAGCTACCCCTAAGCACCTTTTTGTTTGATTTTGGGTAAAAATATATATTTTTCATTTTTAAAAAGGAACATTTGTAAAAAAAAAAAAAAAAAAAATCCAAAAATGATTAGGAATTACAACATACAAAACTGAAAATTAATTTTTAGATCCTGTACAGATTTCACTTACATGTTATCTTATTTAAATATTTATAGGTCCAGTTTTACAAACAAGGCTTAGCTTATGTCAGGACTAGATCTTAGTTAAATTAGCATATTTATGCTACTTTTATAAAAATGCTGTAAATAAACATATTATTGGTGTAAATTCTTGAGACAAAACAATGCCACTTAGGTATTTTAAGGTATCTAACTGCAAGTTATTTTCAGTTAAGACAGCTCAAACATGTCATTTAATCTAGAACTAGCCTTAAGCCTTGTCTGTGCAACCGGAGCATATTATGCTTTAATTTAAGTGAGAATTAGATGAGAACATATGGAATGTGCATTCTTTAAAAAAAAAAAAAATCCATACAGAGCACAAAGAAATGTTTTTTTCCCATGTAGTATTCATGTAGCATGCCTACGATTATGTCTCCTCCCATTTTGCAGGTCCTTATGTTAAAGATGATCTTGACTCACACATCCTCTCACCATTGCTATTCTGCTGGATCTCTGTCACCCCAGGAATTGCAGAAGGACTGTAATTTCTTTCTGACAGCCATACGGCTGGCCTCACTCAATCAGATTCTGGATCCATGGGTTTACCTGCTCCTAAGAGAGATTCTCCTGAGGAAGTTCTGCCAGGTGGCCAGCGCAGTTTCCAAGTGCTCACTGGACGTGCAGAAACAAACTCAGTGTCCTCTGGATGTCCAAAATAAAAAGGCCATTCAGAACGATGATGTTCACAAACAATCCCTGAACGTGGAAAACAGTATCTTGAACGTGGGATGTGAAGAACAGTGACTTGACAGTGGTACAAAAACTGAATAGTTTTACAAGAATCATTATAATGACAAAGGGTACAATCACCCAATCATTATCAGAATAATAATCATGTGGTGAAGCTGTGGGTTGTGGTATTGATGTTGGGTGATGTCAGCATACAACCATGCAAACACGTCACTCTTGTGCCGCTGTAAGTCAATAGATTTGTTCACGGTTACTCAGCAACCTTTGAAGCAAAAATGCCAAGACCTTACAAATAAGCGTTGTCATTGAACTTGAAAATATCATGCATGCTTAAATTGTCTCTCATATAAAAGACAAATATAGATCTGCTAGAGGAAAAAAGTGTTCAAATGATGCAGAAATCCTGCACATATAACAGCAATATTATCAAATTCGATTTGGATAAACAAAAGCAAAACCATCAACTGATGTTTGCCAGCTCCCATGGAGGCTGATTATACTTATAATATGTTCAGTGTTGGTATTATATAGCAAAATCCTTTTATTGAGAGGCCAAATGCTTGAAAAAAAATGAAGGAATCTTTTTTAAATGCTTATTTATGGTGTTATGCAACATTTCAGAGCTGTTTATTTTGCAGTAAAGCACTGAATGGTCTCAAATACCTTTCTCCAAACTTCTGCTTTGCATATTTTCACTCATTTTAAAGCCTCTTATGAACTTTTACTTACCCTTATTGTATTTTTTTTTCTCAATGCCAACACTGCAGAGCTCTTTTTTCATGCTGATAACTGTGGCTGTGGACATTTAATTGAATTCCGTGCTTGAATTTTTTAAGCTGGGTTCCTTAGCGAAGGAAATGGAAAAGTGAATGGCTTTAATTCAATAGCTTGTTGAGATGATTTCTGGCCTTGGAACGACTTCTTTTAGAGTGTTTGCCTCAATGTGCTTCATATTTTTTTATGTGTGATGTTCTTGATAATATTCATCATCATCATAAACCAAACACCTTTAAAATTCAAATAGAAACCGATTTCGGCAGAATGATGATTTGTTGTTTACCAGGTGATCAAAGCTTTGTTGTGTCCTTATTTCCCAACCTTTTAGCAGTGAATTATGTAACATTTGAGGTAGTTTGTGGGTAATGAGCTGGTGCAGCTGTTTTATATTATTCTTGGCTGATAAGATGACATTCAGAAATTTTCGTTTGTTCAATTTTAATTGAACATACATATATTATTGTCAAGCATAATGGAAGCTGTTCTTCTAATTGGGCTCTTCAGTTGCACATCTGTAATCATGCATCCTACAGGGTGTGACTGAACATCATCTTAGCATATTATATGTTCATTCTGTGCAGTTAGTTATTGATTATAGAGGACCTGTGGATAATCAACTATGCTCAACCGCAGATCATATATTCACAGTATTAGAAGGAATTAAGATCAGTAATTTGTTAAAGGAAAATGATCAAAATGTAAAAAAAAAAAAAAAAAAAGCTTTTTTCAATTTTTTCCCATATAGAGTCTGATACATGGAAAATAAATACAAATTGCTAATTTGACATTCATATTTGGATTTCACATATGTCATTTATATACATATATATTATGTACACATATATAATACATATATGTAAATATATTTATAAAAAAAAATATATAATATAAAAATGGCGTTTATATTTTTAAATATTTAAATATCATTTTTATATATATAAATGTATAAAATATGAATAATTCTGGCATTATAGATGTGACATTTGCAGTAAAAATTAAAAACATAAATTTACAGAGAAAGTATATGTTAACATTGTATTGAAACATCTGTTTACATTTTCCAAACTACTAACAGAGTAGTAACTCACTACAGAGTTCTGAGATCATACAAATATCAATCTGTAAACAACTGTTAAAATGTTTAAAATGAGCAGAATAATCATGCGTTATGGTATGGATGGTAGTTTACAGTATTTTTACAGTACTGTAAAATACATGCCTGCACAAAAAAAATTTAGAAAGGGTTTCAATATTTTGGTGTGTGTGTGTGTGTGTGTGTGTATATATAAACACACATTTAAAAAATTATAGCTAATATACAGTTGAAGTCAAAATTATTAGCCCCCCTGAATTATTAGCTCCCCTGTTTATTTTTCCCACAATTTCTGTTTAACGGAGAGAAGATATTTTCAACACATTTCTAAACAATAGTTTTAATAACTCATCTCTAATAACTGATTTATTTTATCTTTGCCATCATGACAGTAAAAAACATTTTACCAGCTATTTTTCAAGACACTTCTACGCTGATGAAAGCGTCATTTTAAGGCTTAACTAGGTTATTTTGGTTAACTTGGCAGGTTAGGGTAATTAGGCAAGTTATTGTATATAAATGGTTTGTTCTGTAGACTATCGAAAAAATATATATAGCTAAAAGGGGCTAATAATTTTGACCTTAAAATGGTTCATAAAAAATTAAAAACTGCTTTTATTCTTGCCAAAATAAAACAAATAAGACATTCTCCGGAAGAAAAAATATTATCAGACATACTGTGAAAATGTCTTTGCTCTGTTAAACATCTTTTGGGAAATATTTAAAAAAGAAAAGAAAAAATTCAAAGGGGGGCTAATAGTTCTGACTTCAACTGTTTACGAAGATATAGGTGCATATTTGTAATTCCAATGGTTGAAAAATCTATATATTTTTTTTCGATATATTGAAATATATGTTGCATATATTATGTATTTTATAAATGTGAAATCCAAATATATAATTTGCCATATATCAGATTTCTTTGTGGGTCCAAAGCTCTGTCTTTACAAAATATGTTGTATCTTTGTGCCTCGGATTCTTTGAAAGCAGCCTAAATCCCCATAGCACTGAAAATGTTTGTGGCAGTGATTTTACACCCTGCCGATTCAAAGAAAACGAGTGAGGAAGATGCCGAAGCAATGTCTGGGGGAAAATAGAAAGGCATTGTGATGTATTTTCTTAGAGGTCAAAGCTCTATAAAAATCGATCAATCTGAAAAGGTGCCGTAACCAGTGGATGCATTTGGAAGATTGCATAAGGCAGAGAGAAATTGCAATTTTTTTTATGTTTCCTTCAAAAATATAAAAAGAGTATTTGACACATCCAAATAATAACATCAGAGAAAACAGTGATTACAGATTGCGAAATGTTATGGATTTTGTGCATAGCTGTGTGAGCCAAATAAATGTATTCACCGCTTGACATATGCTCTCAGGCAGTGATTATGGAGTAAAATTAATGAATCTGACATGTGACTTAATTAATGGTGAAATGAACACAGCTCAGGCTGCACTGTCACAAGCCTAGTCGTGCTTAACTAGCCGTTGTCTGCTTGGATAACTGCTGAATAGAGCAATGGAAAATAATATGATTGCATAAGATTGCTAATGCAGAGGCGACACGGTAGCTCAGTGGTTAGCCTCACAGCAAGAAGATCACTGGCTTGAGCCCCGGCTGGGCGTTTGTGTGGAGTTTGCATGTTTTCCTCCTCTTTGTGTGGGTTTCCTCTGGATAAGTTGGAGGTTCATTCCGCTGTGGCGACCCCAGATTAATTAAGGGATTAAGCAGAGAAGAAAATGAATGAATAATAAGTTTGCTTTTGTAGAGGCAACATGGTGGATCAGTAGTTAGCACTGTCGCCTCACAGCAAGAAGGTTGCTGGTTCCAGTCCCGGCTAGGTTTGTGGGTATTTTTTTGTGGAGTTTGCATGTTCTTCCCTTGTTTTGGGGTGGATTTCCTCCTGGGTGCTCCGGTTTCCCCCATAGTCCAAAGACATGGTATAAGTGAATTTAACCAAATTGGCCATAGTGTTTGTCAGTAAATAAGTATGTGTGGATGTTTCCCAGTACAGGGCGACCCCTGATAAATAAAGGGACTGAGCCAAAGGCATATAAATAAATGAATATTGCATTGCTAATTTAGAAGTCCTGGTGTATTAATAAGCAGGTTTGTTGTCAGCATCAGTGCTTAGTGCTGATAATCAAGGTGACCATTCAGTTCTTTCTGTATATGAGCATGTTTTCTACACTCTTAACAAATAAAGGTTCCAAAAGTTTTTTTTTTACATCAATGCCATGGAAGATCCATTTTTGGTCCTCCATAAAGTTTTTTCAGTGAGAATATTCATAATTATCTTTATTATTATTATTATTATGTAGAACCTATGAAATTTCCAAACGGAGGATTTCACTGAAGATTTTCAAGGTTTTTTTTTTTTTTTTTTTGTGGTTCCCCAAAAGAACTTTGAAAATGAACATTTCTTTAAAGAACTATTTTTCCTAGACTAAAGAACATCTAATTGATCTAAATAACCTTCTGTGCACTAGAAAGACCTGTTAGGAACAAAGATGTACCTTTTGAAAAGGCACTATCCCAATGACAGATTTTGTACCTTTATTTCTGAGAGTGCATAAATTTAAAAGGTTCTTCAAGGAACCATAAATGAATCTTTACATTTAAGAGCGTAATGCTGTGCTGTGACACTGTAGTTATGTTGCCAACGCCATTTTATCTGAGTTCTTTCATATAGAAAGGTTTATACTCATATTATTATTCCGGAATAATGTACTCACCCTTATGAATCCATCTGGCTTCATCTCTGGAGAGCTTTCAGTGTTTTTTCTTAAAGCAACATAATAGTAAAAGCACATCGGTTCATCAAACAATGCAAATGTATGGCTTCAGAAGAAATATATAATTAATGCAAAAAATAGCATGGGCTGCTTTTATGATGCTTTTGAGTACCCCGTGAGTGTTGAGTCACTTTTACAAAAAAATGTTTATTCATTCACATTCCAAACAGTTTGTTTTATGTAGACCTGGAGGGGAAATTACCTGTAAATGTATAGCACAGGAGAGAGAAAGAAAGTCATATTAGTTTGAAAGTGATCTATTATTTTAGAATTGAATGCAAAGACGTTTTTAAGTGCATTTTAAGCTCTCGAGAACACAAGATGAAGTATTGATCAATCTGTAATCATAATTCATTGTATACTGTATGTGCAGGCAATAAGAGTTGCCAGGTGACGTTTGCATGTGAAGCCACCAGCAAATCATTTAAGATCATAACGCACTGTGAATGTCCTAATGCCAGATGCCAAATCGCAAATGCCCGGTGTGGCAAGTCTGCATTAAAACAACAGGGTTTCATGAATGTATTACAAGTTTTACATTTATTAGTGTTGTAAAGACAACGTGCGCAGCTCCAGGACTCCGTTCGCAGCCAGAGCTGTCATTAAGCTTGTATCAACAGATGGTCGTGGCGCTGCTTGTGTGTTTTTTTGATAAGAAGTGTTTGCATATGCTTGCAACTGTTTGACATGTCTGCTAAACTGCCCTGATGTGCTCGCCTTGTAATGGTGCTTCTAAAGTGTATCATTATTTGATTCTGCGCCGCCTCTGGTTTTTCCATTCGCTGGGATATGGACGGCCATTCGTGCAATTATCTTAATTGAATCAAAAAGGGAGTTGGGGTGCACCAAAGTGCTTCTGTAATACTACGCTCCCCCATCCACATTTTGCACAATAAGCCTAATTAGGAGTGCTTTGAAACATTTTTCATCAGATTTTTTTATTGACTTTTTTTTCAGGATGTTGTTCAAATCATTGTATTGATTGATTGTATTAAACCAGTCACTGATTCTTCAGAGACACATGAATATTTATAACTGTTATTTTGACTGGATGACATGGCTTTTTCATTTCTAATTTATCATGTGTAATACTGATATATGAATAATTAAAGTAATACATTTTAAACAGTCTAATTGAGCAGCATTACTAATCAGAACTGATTTGCATGTCTGATTTGCAAGTAATCAGAATACTTTATGCATTTTGGCTTCACTGTAAAAAAGCAATTATCAGTTTACTTTATGGTCAAAAAAAAGTGATTAAACCTGTTGCTTTTAAAGCAGTTAGTTGCCTTTACTTTGCAAATTCAAGTAGGTATCGCTGCAGACCGGAGACCTCCAACTGGGAGGTATTACACAGCAAGTAAGTTGGGTGACCTCTAAGTGGGAGGGACTTATGCTGCAGGTGGGGTGGGTTTAGGTAATGTTGGTGGAGTACTGTAAGGTTAGGTTTAGGGTTGGGGTAGGTGTAGACGTTAATAAAACACAACAGGTTACTTTGAGGTTGGGTTTAGGGTTGGGGTCAGTGTAGACATTCACCCCACATAGCTCAAGTAGGGCTGGGCAATTTGGCCTAAAATCAAAATCTCGATTAATTGAACGATTATTTTATTTATTTATTTATTTAATTGTATTTGCCCTCGTAGCAGGTTTTGTACAGTAAAGTTGTTTACATATTACAAGTGAGGGATTTTTGGATGAAGGGTGCATTATTTGATTTTTAAATAATGGAAGGAACACACTATCTACAATCTAAGATTATCAACATTTAACAAATTAAATTAAAACACCCATTGTCTCAAACAAACTGTGACTTTTTTCTTATAAAAATAAAATAAATAACTTGTACTTTTGGAAACAAAAATTATTTTCAATGTTTTTTGTATTAAAGTAGAA